TAAATCACCACAAACCTTCTAAATAGCATAACGTCGTGTCCTCGTGAGTCAGTGTACCACCATCGAGGATCTGCCGCGTAGCCTACTCCAAGTGTTCCTCCGTAGTCGATCATGTTTCCGTCCATGGGTGGCATAAATCCGTCCTACCCTTCACAGGGCCCTCCTCCACCCGGTGGCATGCCGCCCCCTCCCGGTGGAGCTCCAGGCGCTCAGCGACCCGCGGGCAGCAGCAATCCCAACTACTTCACAGACAAGAAGAAGGGCGAGGTGAACGAGCTCAAGAACGTACGTACACATTCTCAAACTTGATCGTAACATCGAATACAAGAATTTAATGTTTTATACTGTAGCTGCTGCGCGAGGTGACCGTGGAGAAGGATGTGAAGCGCAAGCGTGAGATCATCAAGAAGGTCATCGCGTACATGACGCTGGGTATCGACGTCTCTCGTCTCTTCAGTGAGATGGTGCTATGTGTGGATACCAAGGACCTCATCTCCAAGAAGATGGTGTATCTGTATCTCACCAATTACGCGCAGAAGAACTCGGAGCTGGCCATTATGTGCATCAACACGCTACTGAATGACTGTCGCAATGAGGATCCAATGGTGCGTGGCTTGGCGCTGCGTTCGCTCTGCTCTCTACGTCTGGACTCGATCCTCGAGTACATCCACGACCCTTTACAAGCTTCACTCACGGACACCAGTGCATACGTGCGTAAGACTGGAGTCATCGGTATCCTCAAAGTTTATTCTCTGAACCCAGAGATCATCAAGGAGAGCGACATGATCGATACTCTCTACAACATGATCCGAGACCGCGATCCTCAAGTGGTTTCCAACTGCTTAGTAGCTCTCAATGAGATCATGGCGGACGAAGGAGGCATCGCTATCAACCAGCCCATTGTCATGCACTTGTTGAGTCGCATTTCGGACTTTAACGAGTGGGGACAATGCAACATCCTGCAGATCGTCGCCAAGTACAAACCCACTGGTCCGGATGAGGTTTTCACCATTATGAACACGCTGGAGCAGTGTCTGCGTGTGTCCAATAGCGCGGTGGTGCTGGGTACGGCCAAGTGTTTCTTCAATCTCACGCAGACTCGCGGGATGGAGCAGATCCAGGACCAAGTCTTTGAGCGTATGCGGCAGCCTTTATTGACTCTGATGGCTGGTGGAAGTCACGAGATCAACTACTGCGTGCTGCACCACATTCTGCTGCTGGTGGGCAAGAAACCACACGTGTTTAGTCGTGACTACCGCCAGTTCTACAACCGATACAACGAGCCCACACACGTCAAGTACGTCAAGATCGACATCCTGGCTCTGGTGGCTGATGGAGCCAACGTGGCTGACATTGTCACAGAACTGAGTGAGTACGTGACGGACGTGGACCAGGAGCTAGCGCGTCGTGCGATCCGAGCTATTGCTGACATCGCTGTGAGTCCCAATCTCTCGGTTAACACGATCCCGCAGCAGTATCCGGGCGGTGGCAACGTTCCTGAAGCGTACGGCCAGCAAGCAGCTGAGCAGCTTGTGGAGCAGATGCAGGACCACATTATGGACACGATGGTGGACTTCTTGGAGCTGGATCTCGACTACGTGCGCGACGAAAGTTTGGTAGTTATGAAGGACTTACTTCGTAAGTATCCGGACAAGCGCCATGATGTTCTACCTGTGCTGGGTCGCATTATTGCCGCTGTACAGCAGCCTGCCGCAAAGGCCGCAGTCGTCTGGATGTTGGGTGAATTTGGACAGGATCTACGTCGTGCACCGTACGTGTTGGAGAAGCTTATTGACGACTTTAATGATGAGGCTGCCCCCTCTGTGTTGTTGGAGCTATTGGCTGCGACGATGAAGCTGTTTTTCAAGCGTCCTCCTGAGGTGCAGAGCATGCTTGGACGTCTGCTTGGCTCGGCTATCAATGAGTCCAGCCACCAGGATGTACGTGACCGCGCTCTGCTGTACTACCGTCTGCTTGAACAGCAACCGACGGAACAGGCCGCTGCTATTGTGGCTCAGTTCCGCACCGAGGAGATTGTGAGTGTGTTTGCTGAGTCTGTTGAGACAGATCTGAAGGACAAGCTGTTCCAGGAGTTCAACTCGCTCGCTGTGGTGTACAACAAGCCTAGTGAACTCTTCGTGTCGCCTACACACTTGGCTGGCGCAGTGGCGCCTTTGGATGATGAAGATGATGCCGAGGAAGAGGAGGCTGACGAGGGATACGACAATACTCCACCTCCTCAGCAGCAGCAGCGCAACGCTGCGCCTCCTCCGCAGCCGGCGGCTCCCAGTATGGACTTGCTGGACATGGACTTTGGCTCGGCTTCAAGTGGCCCTCCGCCTCAGGCTGCAGGCTCGAGCTTCGCATTGGTCCCGTCTCCAGTCATGGACGCCGCAACGTTCCAGGGCCAATGGGGTAGCAGGCCTGTGGTGGCTGAAGTAGTCGTGCAACTACCGACTTTGCCACCGCAGAGCGAACTGGAGCAGGCGTTCGCATCGCGTGGCATCGTGACGATGGCTTCGGGTGACGTGGGTCCGCAGTACAAGTTCTTCTTCTACGCTCAGGACACTCAAGGACGCTTTTTCTTGTCCGAGACGCTGGTTGAAAAGGCCAACCGCACGCTGCGAGCAACGATCAAGGGCGAGGACGAGGCTTCAGGAGCTCAGTTCGCTGATCTCATGCGTCGTATCCTGTTCGGATGAGCCAGTTGATACGGGTCAACCACGACTGTGGGATCTTGTAATGTGTGATACACTTTGAAACAAATTCGTCTTTGGCGTTGGTATCGTTGGACTCCGCTTGAAACACCGGTGATTATTCCTGCGAGTCATCAGGTCTTAACTGTACGTGACCAATCACGTTGCGTTGTCACCATAACGCCGTACGAACGTATAACTTCAGCTATTCCTTCCTCAGGGGCACCGTTCACCGCGAAGTTGCTTTGAAAGCGGGCCGTTTAGGTGTATGACGCCCATTAGTGTAACGCTGAATTCGTACAGCTCACAGTACGTTGTCATGCTTGCTTTACAGTAGCAATGCGGCCTTGATATTCCTCGCCGCTGCATCCAGATTGTCTGAGGTTTCAGTCTCGAGCGAGACTAAAGGCGAGCCATCGCACCCGAAACCAAGTGCAGTGTACCTTGCAATGTCTGACGATGATTACACGGACGACTCTTGCCAATGATTACACGATTGTTCCCTGTGGGAATTCCCTACCAACACCGGACAGAATATCCAATTCACTTCGCCTGAGTATGACACGACACCCAGAACACACCTTAACGGCGTACTGTAACGAGATTCGCGGTGCTACAGGCGCTGTCAGAATGTATGTGTGAAGCGCAACCAGTGGGTACACGCACAGTCTGCATCCAACAGTCTCATGACGATCACACTCTTCTAATTGCCAGCACAGCCACACGAAAAGCGCCAACGTCAGATAAAAGCCATATCAACACAATCTCTTCACTATGGACCAACCTCTGACGGTCAACGCGCCTGCAGCGTCGACCAAGCGCTCCAACCTGCGCTTCGTGCCCACGTTGCTGCGTAAGAACTGGCTGCTCAAGCGCAAACATCCCGTGGCTCTACTGTTCGAGGTACTCACGCCCGTGCTCTTCATCGTCGTCATGGACCTCGTTCGCACCACCAGTAGCGACGATACTGTGCCCTCAGGGTTCACCACGGGCACCACGTCGTATAATCTCTTCAATCCTTCGGGTTGGTCACTGGTGGGGGCTTACAATACACCAAAGTTCGCCACACCCGAGACTACACTCTCCGGACTCATGCTACACTTGGCCTACAAGTCATTCGACTACGGTAGACTGATGAAGACCTTCACGTCTGCTAACCGCTCCATCTGTGAGCGTGAGCTGGCGTTAGGAGGTCGCGTGAGTCTCAACACGTCGTCTCCGTACTCACTCCCGTCCGAGTGTGAAGGTCGCGTGTCGCCGTATAAATTCGCCATTGCACCGGATAACGACTTCACGAGGAACTATTTCTTCGAAACCATCAAGTTGTGGTATCCTACTGTCGTTCTCAATGACTCCTCGTCTGATTACTCGCTTGTGATCCCGTCTTTTGAAGACAGCACAGTCTTCTTTGACACGGAAGATGCTTTGGAGGACTACGTCGAGTCTTCGGACTACGCTAAGACCGAAACACAGCCACGTATCTTCGGAGCTATCGTCTTTACGAACTACCCTACAACCATCGGTGAGCCTGCTTCTGTTGAGTACACACTACGACTCAACTCGACGTATGTTGGGGATAGTGAGACGAATCGATACATCCCTCAAACTATTGGAGGTGACGGTGCTTCGTTGTGGGATTCGGTGGATCGTAAGCTCGAAACTACGGACTACCAGCAGTACACTACGAATGGCTTCATGACGCTACAGACCCTCGTCACACGGTTCGTCAACTGTTTACCCGACTGGGATAACAGCTCCAAGACCACGACAGGATCTTGTCAGATTAACGCCTCCACGGCAGTATCGACGGACGATTTGGACCAGCGACTACTGGAGACTGTGGTTAATGACCCTGCGACCAAGACCGCAGGTGTTTTATTCAATGCCTTGATGGGAGAATCGTCTCCGCTCAGCTCTGACTTGGATGATGACGCACGTGAAGCTCTACTGACTCCACTGCGTCAGGCTCCTCAACCGTATTTGGGGTCACTAACGACGCCGTTTCCTATCAACACTCACGCTTCGTCGTCTTTCTACGATGCAGTCACGGACGCCTTCCCGATCTTCTTCATACTAACGTACTTGCATCCGTTGTCCAAGATCCTCGTCGGTTTGATGTCTGAAAGAGAGACGCGTTCTCGTGAGCTTATGAAGATCTTAGGTGTCAAGGAGTCCAGCATCGTCATCTCGTGGTATATCACGTACATCGTCATCCTGTTCGTGAGCTGCGTGCTGCAGACTCTCGCGGCTATAGCCAAGCTCTTCCCGAACACGAACGCGGTATTGCTGTTCCTCTTCTTCTTCCTGTTCAGTATCAGTGTACTGGGTTTCGCCTTCATGATCAGCTCCGTGTTTTCCAAATCGCGTACTGGTGTCTACGTGGGCTTCATCCTGTTCTTCATCATGTACGGCGTGAGTGGAGCTTACGACGATTCGTCGGCGGAATCGTCCAAGAACGTCGCGTGTATACTGGCCCCAGTCGGACTTGTTTTCGGTATCAACTCGCTCTCAGCCGCTGAGACTTCACAAGTGGGGATTTCCTTCTCGACTGCCTCACAACGGATCAACAACTTCCGATTCTCTACGGCTCTCTGGTACTTCGCATTCGACACGATATTGTACACACTACTGGGGCTATATTTCGAGAAAGTTATCCCTAAAGAGTACGGTATGCCGGAGAAGTGGTACTTCCCGTTGCGTCCTTCGTACTGGAGGAAGTCCAGGAAGTTCGTGACCGTATTGAACGAGAACGATTCAGCTGTGCAGGTGGATGTGAACCCAAATATTGAGCCAGTAAGTGCTGATTTACTCGACCAGGAGAGGTCAGGTGAAGCACTCTGTGTCCAAGGTCTTCGGAAAGTGTTCCCTGTTCCTGGAGGCGAGAAGGAAGCCGTGAAAGGACTGCATTTGAACATGTACTCGGGCCAGATCACTTGTCTACTCGGACACAATGGTGCTGGCAAGACGACGTTGATTTCCATGCTCACGGGTGTGACACCTCCCACTGCAGGCGACGCTACGTTCCATGGTCTTTCGATTCGTGAAGACATGGACGAAGTCCGCGAGTCTCTCGGTATCTGCTTCCAGCACGACGTCCTGTATCCAGAGTTATCAGTACAAGACCACCTTGAGTTCTACGCTCGCATCAAAGGATATACTGGTGAAGAATTGGCCGATGAAGTTACTGCCAAGGTCCGTGAAGTCGGTCTTGTCGATAAGCGGACTACGATGAGTAGTGCGCTGTCTGGTGGCATGAAGCGTAAACTATCAGTGGCCATTTCGCTGCTTGGGGACAGCTCACTGGTCTTCCTGGACGAACCGACTTCGGGTATGGACCCGTACTCTCGACGAAGCACGTGGGAGATCCTCATGAACAACCGCCAGAACCGAGTGATGGTGTTGACAACGCACTTCATGGACGAAGCAGATATCCTAGGCGACCGTATCGCTATCATGGCTGAAGGAGAGCTGCGGTGTTGCGGGTCGGCTTTGTATCTAAAGAACCAGTTCGGAGTTGGCTATAACCTGACCATCGTGAAGGAAGAGAACTGTGACGACTCGAAGGTGATCGACTTTGTATCTCGTTACATTCCGTCAAGTCGTGTGCTGAGCAATGTTGGAACGGAGATCGCGTTTCAGCTGCCTCTCGATAGTTCGTCTCAATTTCCTACGATGTTCCGTAAGATGGATGAAAACCTCAGCAAGTTGCAGATACTTTCGTATGGTATTTCGGTGACGACAATGGAGGAAGTGTTCATTAAAGTGGCAGAAGTGTCAGACGAAGACCAGCAGCATACGCTACAGAACCGAGTCAAGCAGCATGGAATTACTTCTCAGGAAAGTATCCCTATCGTTGGAGACAAGCCAGCGGACGGACATTACCATGGACTTGAACGTACAGGTAGTTCGTTAGCACTGACACGTTCGAGATCGATTTTCTGGACTCAAATGGTGGCAATGATCCAGAAGCGCTTCCGAATGGCGAGGAGGGATAAGAAGTTGTTCGTGGTGGGACTGCTGCTGCCAGTAGCGTGGTTGATCTTTGGGTTGTCGATATTGAAGGCTGCAGGGCTCACCAATGATGACCCGTTCATTGAGCTCAGCCTGTATGGTCTAGAAGATGAAGAAGGCCCAGTTTTGGTCCCGTCCTATTGTGCTCAAAGCTCTGGAAGCTGGTGTGGAACAGCATTGGGTAGTGCTTATTACACTGGAGCGTCGATTGTGACACTGAGCCAGGATGATATCGGGAATCCGCCGTATTCAAGCGACTCCCCCACAGTATTCGACGTTGAATACAACGATCCAAGCATCAACGCTACCGACGCAACGGGTTATCAACTGAAAGTGAGTCAAGAAATCTTCAACCGGGCCTTTTCTGACGGGATTTCGGATCAGTTCGGAGGTTATCTCATTCGTGCAGACGAAGAAAGTAACGTGTTTGGCTACAACGTCCTGATCAATACGACGCTGACGCATGGATCGGTTGTCTTCAAGGCGTTCATGGACCAGTCACTGTACCGATTAATGGCCACACAACATGACTCCTCCATCGGAGCTTCAGATATCAGTTTGACTGTGAACAACCACCCGCTTCCGCTGACCGCCGACAACACGGCGCTGTTTACGGCGTATATCTCGTTCACTTCGGTCCTGTTCATCGTGATTGCATTCGCCTACTATCCAGCGTCTATCGTTGTCATGCTGGTACGAGAGCGATCACCAGACCACAATTCCAAGCATCAGCAACTGGTATCTGGCGTTGGGATCAACTCGTTCTGGACAGCCAACTACATCTGGGACTTCACTGTCTTCTTAGTTCCTGCTGCGTTCGCGTTGATATTGATTCAAGCCTACGATCTCGCGACGCTCACTGGCTCAAGCTCCTGTGTCTCCTGTGACGACTCGACATTTATCGCGGTTATTGTGCTACTACTTGTCTTTGGACTGGCGATCTGCCCCCACGCGTATTGCTGGTCGTATCTTTTCAAAGACCCCGCGTCTTCACAGACGTACATGATCCTGATCAACTTTATCTTGGGTCTGGCACTCATGATCGTCTCCTTTGTGATGCAAGTGATCGAGAGCACGGAGAGTGCCGACAAGGCTCTCCAGTTCATCTGGAGATTGTCCCCACTCTTCTGTCTTGGTCGTGGACTTCTCAACTTGACAATCATCGAAATCACGCAAACAGGAGGAGCTGAGGACGACGATAATAACATCTCGAAAGACCCGTTCGCTCTGGAGAATACAGGGTACGCGATCGTCTACTTGATCTTCGATGCAGTGCTGTACTACGCGATCGCTGTTGGTATCGACTACGCCATGACATTCCCTAAGATCAAGTCCGCCATGTCCAAAGACCCCGATATTCCAGTTGAACACAAAGAAATCGATGAAGATGTTAGAGATGAAGTGGACCGAGTCCTGATGGGTGGAGCAGATAACGACACGATCAAGCTACAAAACCTCCGTAAAGTGTACCGAAAAGGGGAGAAAGTGGCGGTACGAGATCTGTCTTTTGGGCTCAAACAGGGCGAGTGTTTTGGTTTCTTGGGGATCAACGGTGCTGGCAAGACAACGACCATGAAGATGTTGACGGGTGATATCGTGCCTACCTCTGGCAATGCCACGCTCAGTGGATACGACATTTTGACGCAACAAGTGGAAGTTCGTCGCCAGATCGGCTACTGCCCGCAGTTCGATGCACTCATTGACTTGTTGACTGTACGTGAGCATCTCGAGTTGTTCGCAAAAATCAAGGGAGTCCAGAGCTCGGACTTGGATTTCGTAGTGCGCGAGAAGATGGAGCAACTGAATTTGACGGCGTTTGAAGACAAACTCGCGGGTAGTTTGAGTGGCGGCAACAAACGCAAGTTGTCTGTCGCTATCGCGATGATCGGGTCACCCAGGATCCTGTTCCTTGATGAACCATCCACTGGTATGGATCCTGTCTCCAGACGGTTTATGTGGGATGTCATCTCCGAGATCTCGACGTACAATAAGGAGTCGACGGTGGTGCTGACCACGCATAGTATGGAGGAGTGCGAGGCGCTGTGCACTCGTGTCGGCATTATGGTCGGTGGGGAGCTCAAGTGTCTCGGCAGTGTGCAGCATTTGAAGAATCGGTTCGGTGACGGACTCATGTTCGACGCGAAGTTGCAGACTCCATCTGCAGAGGACGTCTCTGAACTTGTCCTGCGTCACTTTGACTCGGTCGACACTCGCATCGAAGAGGGAGATCTCACAGAGACTTGTCAGTTGTTCGGTAACGCGGCATGGACACAGAAGATCGTCAACACGCACCCGACTGGACACGCGATCGCTAACCTTATCAAGCGTGATGGATACGTCTCTGCCAATAGCTTCGCGGCGTGGTGGATCACTGAGACGAAGTTCGAGAATGTGTTGGCGTTCTTACAGGAGAACTTCAGGTCGGTTGAGCTGCTGGAGCGTCAGCACGATTCGTGCTGGTTCAAGATCCACGACCAGCCAGCAGACGACGCCAATAGCCTGCGTCTGTCGAATGTGTTTGAGCTGGTGGAGAACGCCAAATCTCGCTTGTCCATTCGCGAGTACAGCGTCTCGCAGACCACATTGGAACAGATCTTCAACGCCTTCGCGAGCCAGCAGGATGTGGATGAGCCGGTCCTCATCACGCCTACTAACAGCCCCAGCAACTCAGGAGGTACCAGGCGCGGGTTTCTTTCTCGTATCCTGCATCGGTAGAAAACTGGTTGTTAGAGAGAAGAACACGTAATGCACTTATTAATACTACTGCACGTCCTATTACGTGTATCAATTGACCAAGCACAACACTTACGAATACGAAGAGTGATGGTCACAGCTTCAACTATCGATTTTTAGCCAA